CTGCGTCCTCCGCCCCAGTGCGACGAGGAGAGAATACCTCCGTTTGAGTAGTCTGGGGCAATGGCCCAAGGTCTACAGTAAGTCTGAATTAGTGAGTAAAGCCCAGAAGAGGTGTAAGTGATTGTTGGGAGGACTACGTCCAGGGACTCCAACTCCAACTCCCTCCTCCCTCCTCCCTCCTCCCTCCTCCCTCCTCCTCCCTCCTCCTCCTCCTCATCCTCCTCCTCCTCCTCACCATTAGCATCATCATCATCAGCAGCAGCACCATTATCATCCTCATCACCATCATTATCATAATCATCATCGTCATCGTCGTCATCATCATCATAATCAGCATCATCATCATAATCATCATCATCAGCATCATCATCAGCATCATCAGCATCGCCATCATCATCAGCAGCAGCATCATCAGAAGCATCATCATCATCCCTCCTCTCTCCTCCTCCTCCCTCCCCCTCCCTCCTCCCTCCTCCTCCTCCTCCTCATCCCTCCCCCTTCCTCCTCCCACCCACGCAAGCCCGCCCTCCACCCTCGCCGAGGAGGCCCCCGAGCTGTGCATCTGACGCGCCCGTGAGTGCGGGAAGATTCAGGACTTGGGGTCAGTATTGGTAAGGTTTCGGGCTGCGCACAGACAGCCATCCCCCCGGCCGTCCCAGCGGGCCGCAACGGGCCCCCCGAGTGCTCAGCCCCAGCCGGCCTCAACAGGCCCCTCGAGTGGTCGGGGGCGGTCTCAACACCCTGCCGCCAGAGGCGGCGCCAGTCCTCGGCAGTTTGCGCTTCGCGAGCGGTGTCCCCGCGCCCCGCGCGTCGGACAGCGACTCGGGCGGCGGAGTAGGCGCCCTGGTCAGGGCTGTCGTCGACTGCTCGGCCTTTTGACGCTGGCCGCGCACATGGCATTCGCCTCCGTGGGCCGCCCGCAGTTGTCGCCTGCTCCAGCCGGGCGCGATAACGCGGTCGCCCCGTCTCCCGCCCATTGGGAGCGTCCGCAATCGAGGCCTCTCGAAATCCATCGCCACCGACAACGCACAGGGCATGGCTGCGGGCGGGAAGTGGCCGCGGGTCACCCCGCGCCAGAGGGGCACCAGCGTCGCGCCCCCCCACTCCACACCCGCCCTTGCCCCAGTACAGGTCAGCCCGGACCGGAGGCGCGAGGAGGTCAACAGGCTGCGCCAGAGGCTCGAAGACATCGACCCGGAGTACGCCCACTGGCGGAAGTCCGAGGCTGAGAAGCGCGAGGAGGACAAGCTGAGGGCACAGGGGGCTGCAATGGCAGAGGCCATGAAAAGCACCTTGGACGCTCACGTTGCAACCCTCTCGAGAGCAGCCGGTGCGCCGGGTGGGTTTGCGACTGGTGCTGGCGCAGAGCCGCCCCTGTCGGCTCCGAAGGCGAGCCCCCAGCCGGAGGCCGAGGAAGGTGACGACAAGGTGTTCCGCCGGTCGGAGTGCGGCTGGTTGGCGAGCATTCTCGGCCCCAAGCACAAGGTGCCGTCGCCACCCATCAGGGCAGCCATCCACAAGGCCTTGATGAAGGTCCAGGAGAACGACAAGGTGGTCACCGGCAAAATCAACAAGGCCCTGAAGAGCCACTGCCCGCGCAAGAAGTTCCCGGACCAGAAGTCTCGCGCCGATGCCATCATAACGGTCATCTTGGGCGAGCCGCTCTGATATGACAGTGACAGCGAATCCTATGATTCAGACTGGTCAGAGGCCGCTGGAGGTGAACGCCAGGTTGCCAACAGTGGTCTTGCATTCGAAGTGAGGGATCAATACAGTTTCTTGTATTATTTCGGCATCGCCATGTGCCTTGGCATCGTGCTCGGCGGCGGGGCTGTCCTTATCATGTAGCAGACCGGGAACAGATATTTTCAAGTTTTGAATGCGTACGTCACGATATACTTTACAAACATGCGTGAGTCAACCCATCTCCAGTACCTTTTGGATCTCGTTCAGGCGCCGATCACAATCATTGACGGGGGTCAATATCACGGTATGTAAGCGATGCTCACAGGGGTCCTCGGGGTTGCTGCTCCGGTACTCTGGCAGGCCAGGAGACAGGCCAGGCGATTGGACATCATAGGGGAGACCGGGTGCGGTCTCTGAGGGATGAAGGCCGGCGCGCGCTGACACGCTGACCCGATGCCCAGGGGCACCTCTCTCTCCTCTCCTTTCAACTCCCACCCAACTTAACATAAGAATCTTCCCCTCTCGCTCCCCCGTTCGCCTTTCCCCCCGGCCCCAGGGGGTGCTCGCAGGCACCAGGCAGGCCCCTCCAGCCGGCGCAGCAGAAGCATAGTCGACCGGACCTGCTCAGCAGAGGCGCTCATCGGAGGAAAAGCGCACGTAAGGATATCGAGGATATCTGTCTCTCTCTCTCTCTCTATCTCTCTCGCGTCGGCTCTCTATCAGAAGAAAAAAAAACAGACACAATTAATCGTTGATCCCCAAAAAAATATAGGAAAATATTGGAAGTGGGGGGGAAGACAAAAACCCAGAAAGT